CCAGGGAAGCGATAATTCTTTGTATAAACTTTTAATGAAGTTTTTACTTAAAACTGCAGAAATTAATCTAGAAAATATAATAGCAAGTTCAAGTGTAAAGTAAAGCTACTAAATTCCTACAAGTTCTATTTAAAACTAAATGTAAATGCAAAAATTCTAAATTATACTAAGTGTATAAGAGAGTTCTAATTATGAAATGAATCTTTCCCCTTGTAATGAGCTCATAATATGTGTAGGAAACAAAAGGTTTAAAGGTTTAAATTATTTATTGTAAAAAATAGGAGCATATCTATTCTTTACCCTCTCTCGAGTGCATAAAGAACATTAGCTAATCTAAAGTAAGTTCCTGATTGTGTGGTTATACTGAGTAGATTCTAGTCTCTCACCTCTAGAGTACCCATTGTGCCCTCTATATATGACTAACCAAGGACTCAAGTTCCAACTCTATACCAAATTGGCAAAGGATCTACCTTGTCACCTTAGAAATACCAATTCTACTTCTATCAAGTTTTATCTTCCTATCTATTTGCACCAACCAATGGAATACGCTGCTCCGTTCTAAAGATTAATGTGGTAATCACTAGCTGAGTGAAATCATAAGTATCACGGGTTATTATGTTTCACAATGAATTTTAACATTACAAGTGTCCAGTTTTTAAAGTAGATGAAGAACTTGTGAAAATACCATCACAATTTTTGGAATAAAAGAAGTTCTAAACAAGTTAAAACCAACTAATTGAACAGTAAACTTAAGCATAAATTCAAGGAGTGCTTATGATCTCTTCTCGGAGATTGTAAAGCACATTTTTCTTTATAACTATACTGATGAAACTAATCACATCATAAATAACAACCAAATAAAAGAATCACTAAAGTCAAAATTAAGTAAAACTCCAAGCTCTGAGGCAAAGCGAGTTTATTCAAGAATTATGAACATACGGAAATACCCTCCTTCGTCAAGTGAAATTTTCATAAGTAAAATGAAGAACTAATTAAAAGATAAAATAAATAAAACCTGTAAGTCACTAAAACCTAAAGTAAACCATAAAATAAAAATTCACTAAAACTTAAACATGAACTTAATTAAATAAAATTTAGTTTGTAAGGAATCTTTAGATGAGGTAACTCATGGTTGAAAATAAAGACTCTTTTGGTTAATTGTAACCAGGCAAACCACAAACCCTAACAACCCCGAGATGATGAAAACATGAAATCTTAACCAGGTCATCGGAAAAAAAAAACAATACTAGTACAAATCAAATCAATTAAAGATAATTCTAGTAAAAATCAAAAAAATTAAAGACATTCTTGGTAAAAAACAAATTGATTAAAAGTCAGCCAAAAGTTAAATTAATGTTATCCAAAAGCAAATAAGATAGAACAAATGTTATCATATGTTAATTGATAAATGGAAATGAGATTGTGTGAAATATGAGGAGTATGAAAGTTTTGAAGAGAAATAACTTACGAGTGGGACTAGGAAGTAATCCTTGGCTTGAAATTTGTATGAGAAGGGAAGTAACACTGCCAACCAGTGCTTGATTAGTGCCCTGATAAGTTTCGTGTTGCTGTAATTTGTTGAAACCTATTGTAAGATGTGTTGAAGTGGCATAATCCAAACACTATTCATGGTTGGAAGAAGAAGTTGCTACAAATGTAGTGTTCTCTGAAGCTTTTATTTGCTTGATAGTTGATACTTAGATGGTGGTAACAATATGAACGTTTTTTTTTTTTGCATATTTGTCAAATTATAGGATTAAAAATTTTAGATTGCTTGTTTGTTGAAGTATCACCTCCTTAGTGTGACACCTTCCATTATAATTATTATGTCCTTGTCCATGATGACTATATAGGTCTGTGTGAAGATCATGTTTTGTATTTTTATAGTGTTTTCATTGGAGATATTAAATTTTTCACTATATTATAGTCAATAAAGCTCTTCAAGGCTAATTGGGTTAATAGACGCCTTGATTGTTGTTTTAAATGCTCGATATGTTGGTGAAAGATCTATGGGTGTGTAAAATATGATATCTTTTGTATCAATGGAAGAACTGACAACTGATATGTTGTATACAATTGTCTTAATTTAAGTGAATATTATTTAAAAGTTTGATTATTCATAGACATAGTATGCATCTTATTTTTGGGTTGGATTGCTTGTGATCTATTTGTTGCTTTCCAACATTTTTTTAAGGATTTTCATATTTCATATTAGAAATCTAGATAGATCACAAGTGAAAGTACAGTGGTAGATATGGTCGAAAGTATGGTCATTGCTAACTTGTGGTTTATGAGCATATACGTATTGTAAGCAAGATTAGGAATTATAACTCCTCTATCATTTATTGTCCATGTATAGGCCTTGGAATTGATCCATCTATAAAGCCAGTGAAATCATCTGTCTTAACTACTTTCACCATCTAAAATTTCCATGGGGGATAATTATTTATGAATCAAAAAATGTTAACCACATTTTTTATATTATAAAAAAAATTCAGAGGAGGAATGGATTGTTCTTCACTTCTGAGTGAAGTGAATCCCTCATTCAATGTTGAAGTAACTAAATCATCCATTTGAGCTACTACACTGAAGCTCTGATACCATGAAATAGGACTTGCAATGTTGATTAGTAATGCAAAGGAAGATTTACATATAAGTTCTTGTAAAGCTTAAAAAAATTATAAACTGATAGAAAGTATATATGGAAATGTCTATCTAGATAGCTCACATTCATAATATATTATGAATTATATATATAATAAAGAGAATGTTGTGGATAAGGCTGGTTCCAATGGTATGATAGGTAGAATACAATTTATGCAGTTAGGATGATGTGTGTTGTTGTATGTTGTTGTTTGTGGTCCAAAGTTGTGTCTTGTTGTTGTATGGTTGTGTGTTGTTTTTAAAGGATAATCAAATTATGAATTTTAGTATGTTTTTATTGCTGATATTTATTTAAGACCACATTTGAGAGTTTTTCTATTTTATTGAGATCATATGTAAGAAAATTAAACTACAAGTGCCCAATTTAGTTTGAATTTCAAAGAAAATAAATTAAAATATAGTAGATTTGTGCATGATGTCAAAACCAAACCTCATTTTTGTGATGAGTAATGCAATCTATGTTGGGCTATGGAATTTTTATCCCTATATTCAAGCCTTAGCTAACAGAGTTCAGTTGGTTGAATAAGCTTTCCTCTCACAAAAAAAAATTGATTTAAGCACTTCAACCAAAATGTTAAAGGAAACACAATTTCAATAGAATAATAATGATAATATAGAGGATTGAAATCAATTAGTTTGAATGGCGTGCTCTCAAATTATTCAAATCAAGCGAAATTGAAATTTGTAGAAGATCAAACCGATCAAGGATTTGTTAAAATCTATCTAAATCAACAAAAATATAATGTGGCTCACTTTATTCGATTTTGAGCTGACCAAATTTAGCAATCAATCTAAAGTTAGCAAAATATTAAGATTATACTTCAAAATAAGAAATCCAACTCTTTCTTTTCAATTCAATCTCTCTTCAAAATTAGAAATCTTAAATTTAACTCAAAATAAACTTGTTATGTGCTCTACTTCAACCTTTTTTTCAAATTAAAATAATATCCCAATCCTAAAACAATTCAATTTGGATCAGACAAAATTTTCAATTTTGGCCTATTAATTGACACTATAAACTATTATTATTATTATTATCATATATTTGCTCCTTCCATTATTTTTAAATTATAACTATCTTGCTCAAATGTGTAACACATAGGATAAAAATAAAATAAAAAATTTCAGTTTAAGAGCACTGATATTATCATATATATATATATATATATATATATATATATCAAA